CCTCCCCCACATCCCTACCACGTTCATCTGCACCGGGCAAACATCGCTCGGCTACACCTCAAGCATCCAGCCCCTCCGGAGGAGGTCGCTTCCTCGGCACGACGCCTCTCGGCAGCAGTTAACCGACGTCACCGAGGCAAAACTCTCCCTGCACGTCCCCGCTCCTCTGACGCAGGAGCCTACCCTGCAGCAACACGTTTTCCAGCCGCGGCCACTGTCCCTCACCGCACCGACCCGACGGAGGCGAGAAAAATGGGATTCCCAGTGCTCACACCTGCATGAGCACCGTGTGCTGGGCCGCTCTCCCGTGGGATTTTTTTGCCAGGCAAAGCTATTGCAGGAGAAGTCCCTCCCTGAGATCCAGGCTGGCCGGGAGAGCGGACACGAGGCAGCACAAAGGGCCGAGATGGAAGATCCAGGCAGGAACCGAGTCCAGAGACTCGGGAGCTGTTTGGGGAGGACGGCTCTGCCCGGCACAACCTGCCGCCGGCCGCTCCTCCTTCGGCACACGCCAAACCTCGTGGCTCCTCCGGCTTCCCCCGGGGCTGCAGGGAACAGCCCGGACCCCCTCGCAGGGGGAGGTTTGGGTTAACGCTAAATTACATGGAGCAGAATTGAAGCATCACCTCTATTCCACCTCTCAGCCCTGCCTTCTCCTCCCAGCCCGAGGAGCAGCCCGGCCCCGCTCTCACGGCCCTGCCCGCAGGACTCAGCTGCCTCCAGCTCCCGACTCTGAGGTTTTCCAGCTGCTCTTTGGTCCGGCATCCCACCCCGCCGGCACCCTGCCTTCACCCGGCCCAGCCTCCGACTCCTTCTGAGCCCCTGGGAGGGAGGGAAAACGGTCGTTTCTCTTGTTTTAAACTCCTGCTCATGAGTACAACATTTCTGATCATAATAATCATAATAATCATAGTACTAAAAACAGTATTTACAACAAGCTCCAGGTCAGAATTACACACCAAGCAAACACTCAGCACCACAGAGAGTAGGACAGGGTTAATATCTCGCAGATACCTTCTCAGATCCCACCAACGTGGGACACAGACATTTGACGGTTTCAACCATTTCTTACACACAAACATTTCATTTAAATTACTTTTAAATTCTTTTTTTTTTTTTTTAAACTTTTTAAAATTTCTCGTCACTATATGAATGAGGTGATGCCGCGCTCTACACAGATGCTTATCTAAGACAGCTGCTACTATAAACTGATCATTAGCTACTGTTAAGAAATTCAACCCTCAGTTTCCTTCCCTTTCCCCTCTTTGCCCTAAATATTTATTTATTTTTTTTTGTCACTGACAGTGTGGGGGCTTTCTAACAGTCCTGTCCTCCCCCTGGCCCAGGCGGAGGGGGCTGGGAGTAAGGTAGCCCTTCCTTTTCGGAGCAGAGTCCCCTAACGTCAAACCGTGGCCATCGAGGGATCCCTCCCGACTCCAACTGGGGCTTGTGGGGAGATGAGCAAAGAGCCCCGGGCTCTGATCTCCAGCAGCTGCTGCTCTTTGGCTTCCCGTGGGGTTTCTGCGACCGCCTGACGCTCACCCCAGGCCGTAATCAATTCTTTACCTAATTAAAGCACAGGGCAGACAGAAAACTTCAGCTGCTGACAAGACCGGGCGGTGGTTTCTTTTTCGGAGGGGAGGAGAGGCAAAGGGATCCTTGTTCCCTGCGCAGAGCCCTCATCGGCTCTAGCTCCTTGTCTGCCATTGCCGTGCAGAGCGCGGC